ATCCAGTCCAATGGTCCCCCCATCACCCTCATCTACCAATGAATCGTGCTAAAAATATTATTATCTGGAACATCAGAGGAGGAAATAATGATGAGTTTAAGAGAAATTTTCACGAGCTAATATCCACTCACCACCCTTGCAAGGTCACCTTACTGGAAACAAGGATGACAAACCATGGATGCCTAATGAATGAATTTGGGTTTCCGGCTATGATAAAGGTCATAGCAGAGGGACAATCAGGTGGCATGGTAGTGATGTGAGATACCAACTTGGTCCATGTCAACAATTTCGCCAAAAGAAACAATAAAATTCATACACTACTTGAGGTAATCCCTTCTCAATATCCTTGGTTATTTACATCCATTTATGCTAGTACAAAGATTTCAAACAGAAATAATATGTGGGATAATGTCGCAAACATTTACGATAATTATAAAGGTGCTTGGTTACTAGGTGGAGATTTTAACGATGTTTTTGTAGCAGGTGACAAGTTAGGAGGTAACCCTATAAATAGAAGAAGGGCAGCCAAATTATGGAATAGGATTAATTATTGTAAGTTAATGGACCCGGGTTTTAAAGGTTGTAAATATACATAGTCAAATCATAATAAGATAAATAGTAACCGTATTATGGAAAGACTAGACAAGGTTCTAGCAAATGAAGATTGGTTACGGATATTTCCTAAGGCATCTGTAATTCACTTGCGTAAAACCCATTCGGATCATAATCCTATCCTTCTAGAACTAATTCCAAAACACATAACATCCTTTCCAAAACCATTCAGATTGGAATCTTATTGGTGTGGTCACCCCGAATTTGGTAACATTATTAATGAGTGTTGGCTGGACAACAATTTTGTTGTAGCCTCCAACAATTTTAGGAATTGTATTATTGAATGGAAAAATACAACCTTCGGAGACCTTTTTAAGAGAAAGAAAAAAAATCTTGGCAAGACTAACAGGGATTCAGAAGTCTAGATCTTATGGTCAAAGTATTTTTCTTAATAACCTATAAATTTTCCTCAAGTCTGATTACAACAATATCTTAAAAATCGAAGAAGACTTCTGGAAATTACGCTCTAGAATAAACTGGCTCAATGAAGGAGACACTAACTCAAAATTCTTCCACATTTGTGCCACCAACAATAGAAGAACTAATAAAATTGTATTTTTCAAAGATATTGAGGGTAACTGGATAGATGATCCTCAGAAAATCATGGATCACACCTACAATTATTTTAGGCAAATTTTCACTACTAGCCACATTTACTTTGACTGGTCAGCTATTACTAACCCTCCTAGCTTCAGATTTTGTAACTTGGTCTCCTTAGACAATCCTTTGTCCCAGTCGGAACTCAAAAATCAGTTTTTAATTTTAAACCTTTTAAATCACCCGGGTCAGATGGTCTCCATCCGTTCTTCTTTCAAAAATATTGGCAGTATTTAAGAACCTCTGTCACAAATCTTTGCCAGAAAGCTTTTGAGACAGCCAAACTTCCAGAAGGGATAAATGAAACTTACCTCTACCTAATCCCCAAAATCCCTAATGCCAATAATCTGAAGAATTTTCGTCCTATTGGGTTTTGTAATACTATTTATAAAATAATCTCAAAAACCATAGCCAATAGACTAAAACCTTTTTTAGAAAACTTAATTTGCTCTTACCAGGCTAGTTTTCTCAAAGGAAGACGTAGTAGTGATAATGCTATTATAACTCAGGAATTGATGCGTAGAATGCACAAACAAAAAGGTGCTAAGGCTAACCTAGTTATGAAAATAGATCTAGAAAAGACTTTTGACCGGCTAGAATGGTCTTTTATTTATAGAACCCTTTGTCATTTTAATTTCCCTCCAAAAATCTCTACCTTAATTATGAATTGTATCACAACCAGCAAGATAGCTGTCTTAGTTAATGGTAGTAGGAGCGACTTCTTCTCTCCCAGTAGAGGCATTAGGCAGGGAGATACTTTATCTCCTTATATATTTATCCTTTGCATGGAGATGTTGTCCATCCAAATTAACCATCATGTAGATATTGGTACCTGGTCCTCCATCAATATAGGAAGGAATCAATGCCAATTATCCCACCTATTCTATGCGAATGACCTCACTCGAATGTGCAAGATTGATAAAAAAATCCCCTAATTCAATCCTCAATTGTCTGAACTCTTTTTGCAAATTGTTAGGCCAAAATATTAATTTGACAAAATCAAAAATCATTGTCTCCAAAAACTGCCCCATCAACACCTCAAAAGCTTGGTCTAAACTTTTTAATATAAAAATTAGTAATAGTTTTGGTAAATACCTGGATTTCCCAATTATAAATACGAAGCCTAGATCTTCTGATTACCAGTTCATCCTTGATAAAATGGCAAATAAAATGGCTTCCTGGAAATCAAATTTTCTTAGCATGGCAGGGAGGACAACCCTTGCAGCTGCATCTCTAAATAGTATTCCTAATCATATCATGCAGTATAGCTACCTGCCCACTAGGATCATCAAACACATTAATAAAATCCAGAAAAATTTCATCTGGGGTTCCACTATAAATTCAAAGAAAATTTACCTTGTATCTTGGGATACTTTGACTAAGGATAAGGAGAAAGGGGGTTTGACATCCATTCAGCTAAGAAAAACAACCTAGAGACCCTAACTAACCTTTCATGGAGACTCATACACAAACCCAAGCTTCCTTGGTCACAAATTCTCACCTCCCTTTATGGTTCATCCAAAAATTTGAAAACCTCTTCTTTTATTTGGAAAAGTGTAGTAAAAGGATGGGAGGTTTGCAACAAAGGTTTAAAATGGACCCCTCATACATACTCTTCCGTGAACATCAGGAAACGAATTGGATCCCAAAAACCTCTTTGCTAAGAAATCAAATAGTGGGTCCTCTCACTTTTCCCACCAGGAAGCTTAGTATCAAAGAGATTTGGTCTAATAATAAGTGGGACCTATCAAAAATTCCCTTTGAGCTCCCTCAGCATATTAAGAATGCCATCCTCTCTATTCATCCTCTCTAGAGTGGCCATGACACATGTTATTGGGAATTAACAGGAAATGGTATTTTCACAACAAAAACTTGCTATAAAGCAATCCAATCAAATGATATTAACTTGGTAGATTTTAATTGGATTTGGTACACTTAGTGCCCAAACAAGATACAATTTTTGCTGTGGAAATGCCTTCATAATAGGCTGCCCACGCGCTCATACTTAAATTATATAGGTTTGAAAATTGATCCTCTATGTCCAGTGTTTAAAAAGGAAGATGAAATCATTAAGCACATCTTCACAACTTGTACAACAGTTAAAAATTATTGGACTCCACTAGGTTTAAGTTCTTCTCCGGGACAAAAGGGCACTCACTGGATCCATAATATTAGAGACCTAAGATCCTCGACCCCTTCCCCTACCTTAAATGGGAGAAGCTTTTCCCATTCGTCATGTGGAGTATTTGGTTATATTGGAAAAATAACAACCACTCTAACATGACCCTCAATTTCAACTCTTCACATGCAATTTCTCTAGCTTTAGAGTATAATCTTCTCACTACAAAGGAACCCTTAACTGCCCAGTCCCATACTATTGAGGTCGCATGGCACAAACCTCCTCCAAATTATTTCAAGCTAAACATAGATGGAGCCTTTAAAGAAAATACAAACATGGGAGGCATGGGTGAAGTATTCAGAGACCATAGGGGGGACTGGATAATGAGTTATCAACACTCCAGTCCCTCAAGCTCACCCCTTCAAACTGAATTGGAAGCACTAAAGGAAGGACTTACAATTGCTCTAACTCATGGTTATACACTATTGGTGGTGGAAACGGACGCAACAGAGGTTATCAAAATATTACATTCTAATTGTGTCCCTTACAACTCTACTATTGTTATTTGCAGGTGGTTAATGCACCAGATGAAGCAATCGAAGATTAACCATAATTTTCGGGAGGGAAACAAGGTATCTCACAGGATGGCTAAGGAAGCACTCAAGCATGCACGAAAACACCAACCTTTTGATAATACTGTCCCTTTTGTTCAAAATAACTTAGCAATGAATAAGTATGGTTATGTGTATTTGGTTAAAAACATTAGTACTAATGTGTGTTGTAGTGGCCAAAATGGGGAATTTGAATGTCCTCGAGGCCTGTAGTTTCGTTAATGATGTAACTATTGGTACTCCGTAATGTTTTAATATATTATCTTTTCCTGTCAAAAAACAAAAACAAAAAATATAGCTATTATTTCTGCATAAAACTTTTTGATGGGAAATTATTTTCCATGCCAAACAAGCTCAGTCACTAAGGGATGGGCATATTTCGGTCGGAACCGAATAAACCGATCGAACCGAATTTTTTTTATTTCAGTTTTGGTTATTCGGTTTGTTCGGTCGGTTTCGGTTTAAAATTTTAAAATTTCGATTTATTGGTTCGGTTTTCGATTATTAAGTTTTTTAGTTCGGTTAACCGAAAAACCGAATTATTAGCATATATGTTCTTTAAATTATATATAGGCTAAGCCCATAGGTAATAAATTAATACTATTAGGTCCAATCTATCAAAGACTCAACCTATTTAAGTAAGTCCATCAACTTTCCAATCTTAAAGACTTTCAGTCTATTAAAACTTCCATAGCATATATGATAGATACCGGGAGAATTTCACACAGAGTTGTAATTTACACTATGTTTGAATTTTGTAATCCATAGTAGTGTGCAAAGTTTAGTCTATTTTTTTTTCTATTAACACAATATTTCCAACAATTTCAAAGTTTTGGGAAAAATCAACAAATTCGCCGGTCATATTATTACATAGAAGGAGTCCAATATGATAATGTTCAAACCGAACTGAAATAACCAAACCGAAATTAAAAAAACCGAACTGAACCGAACTTATTTCAGTTTGGTTTCGATTACTACTTTTACGAACCCAAAACCGAATAACCGAACCGAACCTGCCAAGAGTCATGCTAGTATTGTAAATAGTTAAGTTAAAGCAAAATCCAAGAGTCAAGAAGAAAACCCTCCACTCGAATTTCAACTGTGTGTATGCACGGAAGAAAAGGATGCTGCGAGCTCCGACTCCAACCAGTCATTCAAATCAAGCCACACCAGAAATGGAGCAGCCGCCGCCGCCGCCGCCGCCGCCCCAGTTGAGGTCTTCTTCTTCCTCAGTTTTCAGAAGCCACCACCATCACTTTCATCCTTCTCGACCTGCCATCCTTGATCTCTTCAACCTCTACTTAGGACTGGTAATCTACCTTTAATTTCATATTTGCCCCCTTTTTTGAACAAATATCCCCCAAATTTGTTGCCTTTCTCTATTGCCTTTTTTCCCATTGTAAAGTTCAATCCGGCCAATTCACTGTTTCTCGCAGAAAAATTCTGGGCAAAAATCAGATGATTCTATTAGAGAACCTCCGTAAGTGTTGTCTTTTCTTTCTGACATGTAAAATTTGGCTGTAGTTTGAAGCACTATTTTGCGCATGAACTAAATATTTTTCATTGTTTATGAGTTTTATAAGCTTAACAGCTTAACTATATACATCTGTCTCCATATTATCTTAGGTAAAGGCAAGAAGTGGTGGGGGTGGGGGGAAGGTCTAATTACCACAGCTATTTAAATGAAAAAACTAGCTTATTTGATGCAGGCTATATATTATGCTTTCTTAGTCTTTCATGATTCCTTTTTATGAATTGGGGTTTGTTGGACTTGGTCCTCCATATATTCGGCATCTTATGCACCAAACATTTTATTTATTATCTTCCAGTCATATTTCATGTCACCGATTCATGAACACAGCAAAGAGGAATTGGAGGTGAGACTGAAGACATGGCAACATTAAGGTTTACCTTTTGGAGTTGCACAATGGCTTTACTAATTATCGGAGAAGAATAGGTTTATTATACCTGCAATCAACATCATTTCTTGCTTCTATTTAAGAAGAGGACAAAAAGAAATTGAGATTTTTGGTTTTTACGCATCTATGTCTCTCCNTCGAAGTACATAAACAAATATTTCAGAACTTGAAATATGTGTTGTTGTTTTAACTTTGAACTTCGAAATTAAGTACTTAACATTGTTACATGTACTGAATGTAAACCAAACTGAAGTACATAACTGAGTACACAACTGACTGAACTGAATGTTCAATTTACAGTACAAAATGATTTAAACTGA